AAAGCCCAAAGACCGTTAAGAAGAACTCCTACCAAGAACCTTCTAAGGAGTCAAATGCTGAAGAGGACTCCTTGGAAGAAGAAGAAGATGAATTATCGTTCATCTCTAGAAAGATCCACTCAATTTAGAGGAACAAGAAGAATACTCCTTTCAGAGGCAGATGCATCGGGTCAACCTCTAAAAGTTATCAGAAAGATAAACGAAAGGAAAAGTCAATGGCATGTTATGATTACAACAAACTCGGACATTTCAGGTCCGAGTGCCTGACTTGAAAAAGTAAAAAAAGAAAACAATCTTCCCCAAATGGGAGAAAAAAAGTACTCATGGGTACCTGGGAAGACTTGGACTCGTCCAAGTCTGATAAAGAGGAAGAAGAAGCAAATGTATGCCTCATGGCAGACAACATTGAATATTTATCAAACGACTCTAACGAAGTGGTATACTTTTTTGAACTATACTCTATAATTCAAACATATAATGAGTTGTTGTCGAATTTTTCAAAAATGTTATATGCTTTCAAAAGTTTAAGAAAGCAATATAGAAAATGTTTTAAAGAAAACGAAGCTTTGAAAACGGACTTCACAACGTTTAAGGACAATGTAAATTCTTTGAGTTTAAAAAATAGCGACCTAGAGAGGAAGCTAATTGAGTCCAAACGACAAGTTAAAATTTTGTTTTCAGAAAAAAAAAAAAGCTTGAGAAGATGCTAAACACATTGAACCCCTTCAATGTGAAAACGACACCTTGTTTAAGGTGTTAACAAAACGTTCAAAGGAAATGAGTGTTTAAGTCTCTTAATTAAAGGTTGCAAACATCTATATGATAAAAAAAAGGCCTAGGATTTAAAGGCAAACACTCATTATATGCTTAAATCTAAATTTGTTAAATTTGTTAAAACTAATGAGAAAATCTCTAGTGATGCATCAACNTTTTATCTTTTTGAATAACGACTTGTTAATATGATTTTTGTAAAAGAATATCGTGGAAATTAAATTCATTGTTGTTTTTGTCCTCTAACTATCAATTTAAAAACACATAAAAACTGAAAACTATTATTTCAATTGTATAAGAATGAAATTATATTATCTCCACCAAAAATCACAATAAAAATTAATATATTATTTATATATTAAATATTTAATTACCAAAACAATTTAAAACTAAAAGTTGTTATGATTGTTTAAATAAACATTGTTTTGAAGTTTAACATAACTGTCTAATGAAATAGCATATATCAAATGAAGAGTCTATGATAAATGCCTTAAACGCTATATGTGTAAACGTTATCCTAAATGTTAAATGTTACTCAATCATACTATGCCTAAAGGCTAGTACACGTAACATGCTTAAACGCTTAAAAACGTTTAACGTTTTTAATACATGTACAATATAATACTCCATTGTTTGTTGTATTGTACTCCATTGTGGGTTGTGTTGTACTTTTTTTTGTGTATATCATTAAAGTAGATAGCTTTATTCAAAAGTTCCAAGAACGTTAAGAAATAGAAAAATATTTTGAGAATGTTTCCCAAATTCCTTCTATCTGAGACATGCGTACAAGCAGCACAATTATCTCTAAAAGGAACAACATAACATCTGACCTTGTACCAAAATGCTCCACAGCTACGAGAAACTCAATGATCTAAATAACATATCTTTTTTCGCAGAACTCTACATAAAGAGGATTGCATGAAGAGAAAAATAAAAAATAACTAAGATTTATTATTGCTCTTACGTACGCTTATATCTTGGTTACATCATCTAGACTTTATCTTTGAAAAAGAAAAATTTTATTACAAGTTTTCATATCTTATTTGTATTGAAAAATATATTCTTTCTAAGAGAGTAATAATCTATTCTATTATTTCAAAAAATATTACGTTACTTTGTATATTCAGAAGTGAATTAAAATATTTCTTGGTTCAACTCAGTGGAGTTAAATGATCTATTTAATTGGACTAGTGTAAACCAGGAGTAGTGAAACTCGCCCAACTAGTTGGGTTAGTTTGTAAAACCAAGAGTGATCAAACTCGTTTGTAATTTTTTAAAGATAACTAAAACTCTTAGTGTTTAAAGGAACTGGATGTAGCTCAGTTTAAAGCTCATTTTGGAGTGAATTAATATAAAAAAAAATTATTCTCCTTGCTTTCTCTTTAAAAAGTTTTTCTAAGCGATTACAAGAATCTTTTAAGTGTTCAACACTACTTGTAGAATGTATAACCCTTACGGGTCTAACACTTATTTGTGAAAAAAATTTAAACTTTATTCAAAGCCCTCCTTAGGTAAGTCATATGATAATTTTGATCATATTAATAAAATCTTACGCAGCCTCTTTAAACACTAGAGATTGTTGGTGACAACCCTAAGAACCTCCAAGAATCTCGATGGCTTAAGCCTCAAAGAGCTCATTGTCATTCTAAAAGTGCACGTGCTAGAATTACAACAAGACAAAATGTTGAGGAAGGAGAAAAGCATTACCCTGAAAGCCCAAAGACCGTTAAGAAGAACTCCTACCAAGAACCTTCTAAGGAGTCAAATGCTGAAGAGGACTCCTTGGAAGAAGAAGAAGATGAATTATCGTTCATCTCTAGAAAGATCCACTCAATTTAGAGGAACAAGAAGAATACTCCTTTCAGAGGCAGATGCATCGGGTCAACCTCTAAAAGTTATCAGAAAGATAAACGAAAGGAAAAGTCAATGGCATGTTATGATTACAACAAACTCGGACATTTCAGGTCCGAGTGCCTGACTTGAAAAAGTAAAAAAAGAAAACAATCTTCCCCAAATGGGAGAAAAAAAGTACTCATGGGTACCTGGGAAGACTTGGACTCGTCCAAGTCTGATAAAGAGGAAGAAGAAGCAAATGTATGCCTCATGGCAGACAACATTGAATATTTATCAAACGACTCTAACGAAGTGGTATACTTTTTTGAACTATACTCTATAATTCAAACATATAATGAGTTGTTGTCGAATTTTTCAAAAATGTTATATGCTTTCAAAAGTTTAAGAAAGCAATATAGAAAATGTTTTAAAGAAAACGAAGCTTTGAAAACGGACTTCACAACGTTTAAGGACAATGTAAATTCTTTGAGTTTAAAAAATAGCGACCTAGAGAGGAAGCTAATTGAGTCCAAACGACAAGTTAAAATTTTGTTTTCAGAAAAAAAAAAAAGCTTGAGAAGATGCTAAACACATTGAACCCCTTCAATGTGAAAACGACACCTTGTTTAAGGTGTTAACAAAACGTTCAAAGGAAATGAGTGTTTAAGTCTCTTAATTAAAGGTTGCAAACATCTATATGATAAAAAAAAGGCCTAGGATTTAAAGGCAAACACTCATTATATGCTTAAATCTAAATTTGTTAAATTTGTTAAAACTAATGAGAAAATCTCTAGTGATGCATCAACTTCAGTCAACAAAAAGATGCAAAGAACTAACAAAATAAGACTCAATACAAGATGGGTACCTAAAAATAAAATTATTACTCTTGTAGACTTGCCTGACAACATAAAAGAAACCTCTGTGACGATACTTTGACAGTAGGTGCTCATATCACATGACGGTAGAAAAGTGTATGTTACAAAGCTTGAAGAAAAACTCATTCATAATCTTGTAAACCAATTGGGTTAGTTTGTAAAACTAAAAGTGGACATACTCATTCATAATTTTTTAAAGATTAGTTAAACCCCTTAAGAGTGCTTAAGGAATAATTGGATATAACTCAGTTTGGAGTGAACTAAAAAATAATTATTCAAAAGTTCTACATTGGATCATATATATGAACGTTAGAAAATAGGAAGATATTCTGGTAATTTTCCTAATGCCTTTTGTCTGACGCATCTGTACAAGCAACACATTTGTCTCTATAAGAAGCAACATAGCATCTCACCTAGTAACAAAAGGCTACACATCTACGAGAAAGTAAATGCTCTCAATAACGGATCTTTTTCGAAGAAGTCTATATAAAAAGAATTGCATAAAGAGAAAAAAAAAAGACAAGAATCAAGATTTATTGTTGTTCTTATGTTGTCAACATTCTCTTATGCTTACATCAACTACACTTTATCTTTGAGAAGGAAAAGTTTTATTACAAGTTTTTAGATTTTTTTTATATTGAAAAATATTCCAAAAATACTTGTTATTTTGTATATTCAAAAGTGAATTAAAATACATGTTTTAACTAAGTGGAGATAAACAATTTATATAGTTAGGCTAATATAAACCAAGAGTAGTAAAACTCATCTAACCAATTTGATTAATTTGTAAAACCAAGAGTGGACAAACTCATTCATAATCTTTCTTTTAAAGATTAGTGAAATCTCATAAGAGTACTTAAAGAAAACTAGACATAAGACTGAGTTTCGAATGAACCATAAAAAAATTGTCTTCTCCGTACTTTTGTTTTAAAAAACTTTCTAAACACTTAAAAATATCTTTTTAAGTGTTCAACATTATTTTGCAAACACTCTAACACTTATTTCCATACAAGTTTTTAAACTCTATTCAAATCTTCTTTTCTAAAATTTAAGTGTCTCGAAAGCTCACTTTACGTAAACCATAAACTAAAATAATAATTATAACAATGTAATGTTTTTAAATATAAAATTGTGGGAAACCGAAAAGCACAGAGAGAGAACTAACGTAGTTCCCTCTGAAATTCTCTATTACCACACCTACAGCAAACGGTCGCCATCGTTGAACTCAAGATTGACGTGTACACAACTTATCTTCTTTGAATTTGAAAGGTTCCAATCGGAATATTTGACAAATACTAGAAAATATAAAAGTAAGAAAGAATAATGCTGGATGACATACTATTCTAAGAAGATTGTTTATTTTTAGAGAGAAAATAATCTGGGTAAGCAAAGATGAATAGTCTAATAATCTTGTATCAGGAGTCAGAAGCTTCACACTTTAGTGTGTTATGAGTTATTCATAGAAACAAACATAGTAACATCATTGTTCTTATAAATAGAGGTTTCTCTTCTGCTAAACTCACACAGCAAACATCTCCTTCTATTCTCCTATTTTATATTCTCTTTCGTTTTGTTATCTCATTTAGAATCCATGGCTGTTTTCACATTCGAGGAAGAAACCACTTCTCCCGTGGCTCCTGATAACCTTTACAAGGCTCTTGTGAAAGACGCCGACAACATCGTCCCAAAGGCTGTTGATTCCTTCAAGAGTGTTGAAATCGTTGAGGGCAACGGTGGCCCCGGAACCATCAAGAAGATCTCTTTCCTTGAGGGTACTCTCTTTCTTCATTTTCTTTACATTTTCTGTTATAAAATTAAGTGATTAATGTGAATCTGGTATACGAATGAGCAGATGGAGAGACAAAGTTTGTGTTGCACAAAATAGAAGGAATAGACGAGGCTAAGTTGGGATACAGCTACAGCATAGTTGGAGGTGCTGCCTTGCCAGACACTGCAGAGAAGATCACCATCGACACCATACTGAGTGATGGCCCCAACGGAGGCTCTGTCGTAAAGCTGAGGATAAACTATCACAGCAAAGGAGATGCTCCTCCCAATGAAGATGAGCTCAAAGCTGGTAAAGCCAAGAGTGATGCTCTTTTCAAGGTCATTGAGGCTTACCTTTTGGCCAATGCTTAGATTATTACCAACGTTCTTAATTACATATGTTAGACTTTCTTTCTTTATCTAAAACTTGGCTTTCAGTGTAACAGTGTTTCCTTTCTTATTTTTGTTTTGTCCTATTTTCGATATCTTTTGTGTATCCCAGTTCATCAATAAATTATAATAAATCAAAGCAAAATTTTAATCCTCTTTTGTGTGTTAAACCATGAGTTTAATTCAATTTTGTTTAGTATCTTGAATTGAGGCTGTGTAGAAATCTATTAAAAAATATGGATTTGATTCCTAACATGTTAAAAACTCTATTAAACCAACACTAAT